CCCAATAGCCCAAGTAACCTACTAAGACCCATAAAAACTACGTTATTTGGTTTAGAAAACAAACAAAATATAACTAGTGTCCCATGTCCCTTCCCACCTGATACTTTAAAAAAGGGGGGAAGATTTTGTTTTGCTCTCAGACCAGTTTTTGCAAGGAAAGGCTCACTTCCAACCAACCCCCCGAGAGGGGTGTGTTTCTTATCACCCCGAGATAAGCACGTGTCCAGGACAGTCCTGAGAAAAAAACACAGGGGCAACCTCAGGTCCAAGGTGACACGGAGAGACGGGGAGACAGTTGCTAAGAAAGACGCTGCAACCAATGGTCACAGACAACAGGGGGGTGAGGGCATGAGTGGGGGGGATAGGGGGTAATGTGGGGATAAGGACACATATGTAATAATTTAATCAATAAAAAAAGAAAGAGAGAAAGAAGCTGCATCAACGAAAAAGGCATCAACGGATGAGCACCTGTGGTCTGAAGCCAGAAGTCCACAGGCCGAGGGAAGGTGCTGGTTTATCACGGCAGCCTCTGGGATGCCCAGGTGGCAGAGCCAGCCCCGAGGCCGGCCCACTACCAACAGCAGTCTGCTGGGCCCTCACGGGGCCTGGTCTGTGCCCTGGGAGGCAGGAGAGAGGCCTCACATGCCAGAGGAAGCGACCTGACAATATACCCCTGGCTACATTTTCCTGGTCATGAGCAGCATTGGCTGAAATCTCAGCGTGAGGATTTCATTGAGAAGGTAAGACACATGCAAGAATTAGCATGATTCACAGGCACTAGCAGAGGCCACGGCAGCCTTCGTGCCAGGGCCCCGAGGCAAGTCATTGAAGAAGCAGGGAGAAGAAACGAATTGACTATTGCATATCTACAACATGCCAACTGCCACCCTGGGCATTTTACAAATATCATTTTACTTAAAACCCAGGACAACCCCATTATACAAATATGATCCCCACTGAACACACCAGACAGAGAGGGAGGCCAAATGGCTTGTCCAAGGTCAGGCAGGATATAGCCATGGACTTGAACCTGGTCTATTAGATGCCCCAATCCTTCCTCCCCGCCCAGGCTGGAACACTCAGTGTTGATCTAAGGTGGCCATTCACCACCAGGGTAGTTAACGAGGGCCGGCCTGGGCCTGCCTATGATAACAAAGGGCTCTTGTTTACACTCATCCTGGGAGGAAAGTGTTACTATTGTCCACATTTGAGACTTGAGGAAAGTGCCCAAGGTCACAGAGCTGTTAGGGAAGGGCCCTGGTCTGTTTGACCCCCAAGCTGACGCTCTAAACTGCTGAGTAAATAAATGAATCCTACCCTCAAGGAGTTCTTGGCCTCCTTGAGAAGGTAAACATGCATAAATTAGCATAATTCAGAGGCACTAGCAGGAAGTGCATGGTGAGGGCAGTTTCAGAGAAGGCTGGGAATGGCAGGGGGGCAGGGGCAGGTGCCAGACGTGGGCAGAGCAGCAAGAGGCCCAGCATACACAGACCATGGGTGAGCTTTGCTCATGGCCAGCCGTGGGGTAACGCTGGTACCCGCACCCCAGGAAGAGGACCGCCCTGAGCAACTGACATCATTTTCCAATTTTCCATGCCCTGCGTGGCGTTGCCATGGATACTAACAACGAAACCCCAGGCTGGAGCCAGGTGATAAACACCATCAGCAGAGAGACCTTTGGAACAGTGCTGAGGGCAGAACTGATAAGCAGGGTCAGCTCTCTCCTCATCTGTGACCCCAGGGGAGAGAGTCCTGCAGGGCACCCGCATGTGCCGCTGGCCACACTGTCAACACAGCCACCAGGGCGGCCGATGGCCTTTCTCTGGGCTGGATTCCCACTCCACAGGCCCGGAGGCGTCACCTCTGGGGCTCAGCACACCCGCATGCAGCCCCATCAGTGAGGCCAGGGCTGCCCTCCAAACAGAAGGGTGGGCTCTGTGTGTGCCGATTCTCAGGCTTGGCCTTGGAACCCACTGGAGAACGTGGATGGCCCAGCGGCAGCTGCGGACAGAGGCTGGTGGGCCTGGACTGAGGCACACCCTCGGGCTCTAGGTGCCAACTGGCATATTTTCATCTCTGCTTCTCTTGACAATGACTGGCTAGTACTCAACACCTGAGAGCTACCCTTTGTGCAAAGGGCTGACACCACCCCCACCCCCACCCCCCACCCCCGTTCTCCGTCACCTCTAAGGGCCGGGCCCACTCGGCTCAGAAAACCTAAACCTGCGATCAGGGCACTTGGGAAACGCAGACCATCCGCGGGCTCTGCCCCAGTCCTGCCAGGGACGGAGTGACTGCTCTTGCCACTGGGTAGCAGCCTCAGACGCGTCCAGGTGAGGAAAGATCACCAAGCTGCTTCTTTAAGCACTTCCTTAAGGAAGCCCTGGGAATCTGCCACGCGCAAACCACAGGCACTGAGGGCAACATTCACTCTCCGCCAGTGTTTTGCTGGCGCCAGGGGTGGGGCTGGGACCCAGGGGTGTGACCTCTAGTTTCACTCCCAGCGGCCAGGCTGGACCGGCTGGAGCTCCCCTGAGCCCGGGGCCTGGGGAAGCGAAGCAAAGGCCGCCCTCCTGGGCGCCACTCCGCAGGAACCCGCCTGAGGTCAATTCCGGTTCTGCACCTGCTAGTCTCCGGAGAAGACACGAGCCGGGATGTTCTCTCTCCCTGAAGACTGAGATGTGGGCAGGAAAGGGACTCCATTCGCGTAGGGCCTGGGGTGGCAGGAGGCAGGGTGAGGGCCTGCTCTGTGCCTGCAGCTCTGGGACTCGGGACAGGGACGACCTACCAAACCTCCGTTGCTTTGACATTAAAAAGTGCCTATCGCCCTAACCGGTTTGGCTCAGTGGGTAGAGCGTTGGCCTGCGGACTGAAAGGTCCCAGGTTCGATTCCGGTCAAGGGCATGTACCTTGGTCGTGGGCACATCCCCAGTAGGAGGTGTATAGGAGGCAGCTGATCGATGTTTCTCTCTCATCGATGTTTCTAATTCTCTATCCTTCTCCCTTCCTCTCTGTAAAAAAATCAATAAAATATATTTTAAAAAATAGTGCCTATCACCCCACAAGGTGATCGGGAGAGGACGGGTGTCTCCTGAACCCGTAGCTATCAGAGCAACCCAAACACTCATTTTGCTCTTTGGTGTTCAACCAAAAGCACCTCTTTTCAACCAGTTAGGGTAGAAAACACGGCATGTCCACGCCCCACACACGTTTTCACTGTTCACAGAGCACTTCTCTCCCACACATGGGACTTGCTTCCCGTGAACTCAACAAAGGGAGGTGTGACGGTGTCAGAGAAAAACGGGTTGCTCAGGTCCCCAGGAACACTGGCCACAGAAACGGATCCTTCCACACCAAACTCCACCTTCCCGGCCCACGCCACACACGTCCCTCCGGCCAGGAGCGAGCCTGGCAAATTCCATTTACAAAGAAAGCTAAGCAGGTTGGCACCAAAGAGTCTTTTTTTTTAAAGGTGACTGTGCTGAAAATATTATTAACACTTCAGAACCACAGCCTTCAGTGTAGGACCGTCAGGTCCAATGATTGGTGTTTTACAAATCATCTCAGTATCTTTTAAGGCAACTGCGCATCATCTCATGCTTTCACGTACACAAGGACCCGCTCAAGGTCCTGTTAACATGCAGGGGGCCAGGTGGGGCCTGGGAGTCTGCATTTCTAGCAAGCTTTCGGGTGATGCGGGTACACGGGCGGCATGCGAGGCAGCCTGGCTTTGAGGGGCAGAAGCTGATCCGGGCCACGGCTGGCCCTGGTTCCGCAGGAGCAGATGGGTGCCTTTCCCTTGAGCGCTTCCAGGAAGCCAGCAAATGCACAGTCCCCCTCAGTCTGTCACTCCTCCCTCCTTCCCCGTCTCCATCTCTTTCGTGAAGAGGCCAGGCGGGGTGCCAGCCCTCAGCACAGAGCCCCCTTGCTCGCCTCTGGCTGTTGTCCCCACTTCCCCCCTTTTACCAATTCAATCCGTTTAACTGTCCTGAAGCATTAGTAATATTTTCAAAATATATACTTTTTGTATGTGGCCAATTACAAATAATCTCAAAAGTAAAAGTTGTGCTGAGACATGAAAATAGGGCACCACGGTGCAGAATTCTGAAAGGGTATTTCAACTGTTTCTGCTCAAGACCTAAAGAACATCCATGCAGTCACTGTTACAATGTCCTGTTTTACCCCCCAAATCCCTTTCTCCCGGCTGTGGGTTAAAGCCCCACAAACCCAATTAGGAAACTGACACCCAGCACGTGGGCATGCCTTTATTTAACTAACACCCTCCCTCTTCGCCAAAAGCAGCACCCCAATATAGCACAGCACAGCACCCCAATACAGAACAGCACCCCAATACAGCCTGGTGGTGGGCTCCCAGGTGACATCAGTGTCAGCCCTTGGACTTTTCTATCTGAAATATTTCTAAATTTTTTTTAATCCCTATTTCAAATCAGTCATTAATAATTTTTTAAAATAACGCCAGCACAAAAACATGCTTTATTTATAATGACTCAGTCTCTTGCCCATTAATTTATGAAAACTCGTTCAGTCCCAAGAAAACAATTAAAACTCTTAAAATGGAGTATTGGAATGCCACAAAGGGCGGGGGGGGGGGGGGGGGGGGAGGCAACCACTGAGATTTGCAACAACACGTATGAATTTCAAAGACCTTGGTTAAGCCACAGCAGCCTGATAAAGTAACCCACACGGTCTGATTCTATTTACATGGATCCCCAAACAGGCAGAACAAATCTCAGGTGACCCAGTGCGAGTGGTCTCCCAGGAGGCAGGTGTGAGCCCGGGGACTTCCCCGGGGGCCAGGCATGTGCGTCTCCCATGGTGGCTTCACATGAGCGTCACTGAGCCACTTTCCACGGGAGCTCCCTGTGCTTGACGTTACAGCTCAATAAGAAAAGGAAAGAGCGCTGTGAGCTCAGCGAAGCAGCCAGCCCACCTCGACACTGACAGCAAAAGCACCCGATGGGTGCAAAGCAAGAATTTACCCTCTTCCACCAGATCCAGGGTGTCCTGCTGCGCCGGGGCCAGCTCCCTCTCTTCATCTTGGCCGTCGTACTCAAAACATTCTTCTTCCCCTCCCTCGTCTCTCAGGGACATTGCCAAAGTCGCCCCAAAGCCAACACATCGCCCTAAGGGGCTGTCGTTGAGGGAGTTCCTGGCTGCCCACCCAGCTGGGCCATCCGGGTCCCCGGGGCAGGTCCCCGGGGCTCTCGCTGGGCCCTGGCCGGGGCCTGGGATGTGCCCCGGCTCGGCTGGAGGGGAGGGTGTGCACAGGGCCCTTGGCCCAGACAGACCCGGAAGGGGGTGGCTCCCCTGCGCTGGGAGGAGGGGCGAGGCAGGGTGGGGCAGAGCACCTGCCTGGAATGGAAATGCCCTGCCCAGCCCTGGGGCGACCCTGCAAGGTGCTGTGTTTTCAGAGGGGAGGCGGGCAGGCAGGTGAGGATCTCAGAGCAATCTCTCCGCCTTGAGGCTTGTCTTCCCCCCTCCTCCCCAGCCAGACACAGGGACGAACAGCAGCCTCCAGGAAGTCTCAGAGCAACTGCGCAGGCCAACACCACGCCGGCCGCAGGCAGGTACACGCCAGGTACACGCGCACCAAGTGGGGCTCTGGCGAGGAGGTGCCAGTGGGGGACTGCCCCACGCCCTCAGATGAGGGCTTCCCCGTGGGCTGTTTTCAGAAGCAGACATAAACCTGGCTCAGTGCAGAACAGAGAAGGAAGTGATCATTCTGAATTCCGGCAGAAGGAAAAAGAAACGGCACTTAACCACTGCCCGTGCTAAGCGTAATTCATCCCCGTCTTTCTTTGGTAATAATACATTGCATGTGCTCTTTTTTAAAGTGCCTTCTATAAATCTCACCCTCAACTGGTGTATTCACAGCGCTTTAATTGCTGGGATAAGGAAAAAAAAAACAAAAATCTATAGCCTGTCGGCTTGCAACGTTGCCTGGAAGAGGAAGCCGCAGTTTAAGCGCGCATCTCATTGCCGATTCCTCAGCACCGTTCGGCTTTGTCTGTGGCAGCGAAGATGGCAGGTTCCTCCATCAAACCCGCTAAAACGCGGCCCAAGGGCGCTCCTGTCTCAGAGCATCACTGCACAGTCTGCAATTTGGGGCCTTTCTGCCACCTCCCGGCTGCACGGTGGCAGGTCTCCCTGCTCCTGACAGCCACACGGAGACACCTATCCGGCTCTCTGCCCACTCACCTCCCTCACCCTGAGGAATTCTCTGTGCCAGTTCAGCAACTAGGTCTCTCACCCACGAGTCCTTGCGGCCCAGGAGCCTGCCCAGGCAGCTGAACACGCCTGCTAAATCGCCTTGCTGCCTCCATACGAATGAACGGGAGACCACAGACGAGGCCTCTACATGGAGAGCCAGAACGTAAGACGGGTTTTATTTAAAAATGAAAACCCGGAGACGGCGGCACGCCCGCTTAATATTTTGGAACCTGAACACAACTGCTACGTTTTATCACATTGAAGACACATTCTTTGTGGGGAAAAGAAAGGGTTAGTAGAAATTCAGCCATCACATTAGGAAACACCTGCGTACGTTTTAGGCACAATGTTTATAAAGATACACGTTCAGGAAAAATGATCTCTCCTTCATCTCAGTAAATGCTATCAGATTGGACTTGTTCATTCAATCAATTCCAACGGCGGTGGGGCTGGAGCCCTGGGGGGGTGGGGGGGGGAGAGGGAGGGTTTCGCTGCGCGCATTACTCATTCCGCGAGGAGCAGGCTGGCGGTAAGACGCGCAGGATACTGGGCTGGGCCTCCTGTGGGTTAATGAAAACAAGGGCTGGTTTCCTATCAGTGTTAACTGATTTTAGCCATAACCAAGTTGGTTCTATTCACCTTTTAACTGAAATCCAGGCTACCCTGAACAAATGGTGTCCAAGCCTCCATCTATTATTACATAATATAGATTAAATATATCACATTTAGAAAAAACAACATTTGGGATGTGGCACTTTGAACACAAGACTCTCCACGTCACCCCATTTCTCTAGGTTTCATCATTTTTCAGGCTATCCATCCCCCCCACCACCCAAATCTCCCCTCCTTCCCTCCCCCGCTCCCTGTGGGGTGTGAGGGAATTCTCAAACCTCATCTCTAACTGCATTCACTCCACGGTTAGAGGCAGGGAGGGGCCAGAGAGCGTCCTCTCTGATGGAGCAGTTTGTCCGAAAGCCAAAGGCAAACATGACCCCTGAGGACCAGTGAGAAAGCCTGGGGCTCCGTGCCAGGGAGAGACCAGGACAGGACGTGGGAGCCCGGGGGCCCGGCCTGGCCCAGCCCTGGGAGAGTCCAGCAGCCGGTGTGACTGTTGCCCCAGAGGCGAGGACCAGCCCTGGGGCCCAGAGCAGGGAGGCGGGGAGTGAGTTCCTGACCGGCTCCCATGGGAAGGGCCCAGGAGGAAGGTGCCACCCGCCTCCTGCAGGGCAGAGGGATGTCCCTCCGTGCGTGTCCCTCTCCAGATCCCCTCCACCCTGCACTGACCAAAAAGGGGCCACAAGCCACTGGGGTCATTCGTGTTTCAATGTAAATAAAATCCAAAATGCAGCCACACCAGCTACATTCCAAGCGCTCCACAGCCACTCTGAACAGCACAGGGGAGAACACGTCTATCATCACAAAGGGGTCCCTTCCTCTCGGGAGGTGAGGTCTACGCTCCTTGGCCTCCCTGCCTGGGTCTCCCCTCGGCCTCTGCTCCCACCGGACACCCCCCCACACACACCTGTCCTCTACAGAAACACAGCTCTAAAACCGTGGCTTCACTCTAGACCGGGGGTGGGCAACCTTTTTGTGAGTGCGTGCCAAAACCAGCAAAATCTCTGACTCAAAATTCTTCTGCGTGCCAACCCTAATTTTTTGAGATCATGTTACGCCTACTTGAGATCTCTTAAGCTGTACGTATGTGAAGGACCTTGAAGAAATAATAAAATTCATTCGAGCGACAAAAACACAGTATATGATGAAAAATACATTTATTTTTTAATGTATACATGTACACTGATAGTCCGACAGAAAACTTTATGACTCCGTCTGATATTATCAGTGGGACTTTTGCTGCTGCATCACTGATGACAGAGATTCTACATCAGGTTTCTATTTCGTGACCTTCAGAGATATGCACGAGCTACTACTTTCATCCGTCAGGCTACTCCTATTACGAGACTTAACAAAATTCATCACTGAGAACAAAGATTCCCAAGCATATGTGGATGAAACCAAAACACTGGTCGGCTCTAGGAAGGCAGGGAGAGTTAAGGCGGAGGCATAGAAATTGCTCTTCCCCTCTCTCGTCAATCCATGTCTTTGGTCTTTATGATAACTTGTTATGTAAAATTATTTATTTATCTCAGATGCACCTACACTGAATTTATCTGAAAAATAAAAAAGTCGATATTAAGAAAAAAACTGTAAATGTAAGATTATAAGAGAGGGTTTCGCGTGCCAGCAAAAGTTACTGGCGTGCCATGTTTGGCACACGTGCCAAGGGTTGCCCACCCCTGCTCTAGCCCTCTGCTTCTACATCTGTGGGAAAACAACTCTTCCCTTTTAGCAGAGCTAGTGATGAAAAACTCAGTTACATTTTACAGTTACATTTCATTCCCTTTTTTTAAAAAAAGAAAATTACCTTAACAGCCATCAGAAGAGTGCTGTCTGGGAAGGGAGACGTAAGCCCCTACCTCCAAAGGTACCTGCACGGCACACGAGATGGAAAAAGGGGGTGAGGCCTGCTGACACTGTTGGTCACAGAGCGCAGGGAAATTAGAAACATCATCTCAAAGACCCCGTAACAGCTTCTCAATTCACGCTGACGAAACCTCTGACGAAGCTTCCCTCACACACCAGCCACCCTGACCTTGGGGTGGCGTGTTAGAGGTCACTGCCATCCAGTGAGCAACGGCACGCCTGGCTGCCCTGGCGCACTGCCGTGGAGTTTCACCGTAAAGCCAGAGGTCACAGGACCAGCTCCAGCCACCTATCTGAGTCTCCCCATTAAGAAAATCGCTATTAGCTACACCATCCCCTGCCCCGACCTTCAAAGCTATAGCATGTAAAAGGAGGAAAGGAGGCTGGATGATGGCAAAAATAACTGCCCCCTGGCCCGCGTGGCTCAGTGGGTGGGACATCATCCTGCGCCCCGAAAGGTTGCTGTTCGAGTCCCGGTCAGGGCACGTGCCCGGGCTGCAGGCTCGATCCCTGGTGGGGGGCATGCAGGAGGCGGCCCACCACATTTTCTCTCTCACATCAATGCTTCTCTCTCTCTCCCTTCCTCTTCCTCTAAAAATCCATTTAAAAGGTTAAAATAACTGCAGCAAGGAACGGGTAGTCAAAATCCTATACCTTGTTCCATCGACCCTTTACCTTTTCAAAGGGATTTTTTAAAGGAACTTAATAGCTAGTACACTGCTTAGAAGGGCTCTTGCTTCATGGACAGGCTTTACCCTCTTCGCGACAACTACAGAATTCTTATCCCCGTTTTCCAGACAGAGAATCCGGGTTGACAGAGGCTCCCTGAGGCCCTGGGAAGTGCCCACCCTGCAGCCACGGAGAGCACAAAACAGACCTCAAATGAAACGCCAGGCCAGTGCTCTGCTATCCCATCTCTTTCTCAAATAGCGACAGAAGTATGCCTTGTTCCTTTAAGAAGAGCACATGCTTAAACCCAAGCCTTTTTGAAAATTAAAAAGCCCTCCTTCTCTTTATAAGAATACATTTTTTTTTTAAGTGGCCAGCATAGCCAAGAAACAACATAAGATTCTGCAGCAGACCTGAGGCATTATTTCCAGACCCCCGTGCCTGGGGCTGGTCGCCACTGACAATGGCCCCAAGTTTCCTCCACGCCTGATGTCAGCATCCCTGAAAGCAGGTGTTAAAAATTCAGAATTCTCAGAGCCTCTCCTGCTCTGGCGTGGGTCTCCTGCTGTATTAATGCGCGGTGCTTTTCATGATCTGCCAGGCTTTCCAGGTCCTGCCAATAGAGATGGGGCACGTGCAGTGTCCAGAACCATGACTCTGTTTGGCACCAGAGTTTAAACTGTACACGGAGGACATTCTGTGATGGCTGGCTAATTCAAATCTCTAAAAATCGCCTAAGGTGCCGGGCAGCCAACCCCTCCGATTTCTTAAAATCCTGGGTCCCGGCCTTTCGTGTCCCTCTGGGGTCTTCCTGTGTGTTTGACGGGTGGGGGATGGGGTGTAAGATGCCACAGCCAACACTGGGCAGGGAGGAGCCTGCAGCCATCCCACACGGAGCAAATCTCCCCGAAAGCTCAGC